CCAGTTATCTAGTCTCTCTTCTGGTGTTTGTGCCTTGTTAGTAATGTTTCGTATTCTGTTTATGCCATGTATTAGGGCTCCTAGCATTGTCCCTATTTTTATTTCCATGATCTTTATCGTTTTAGATTTTATATTTAGGTCTTGATCTGTTTTGAATTAGTTTTTGTGCATGATGTGAGATGTGCGTCTTCTTTCATTTTTTTTGTGGCTAGATACCAGTTATGCTAGCACCATTTGTTAAAGAAACTCTCTTTTCCCCAATTAACAGACTTTAGGCCTTTGTCAAGTATCAGCTGCTCATAGGTGGATGAATTTACATCTGGATTCTCAATTCTGTTCCATTGGTCTATGTATCTGTTGTTGTACCAGTACCAGGCTGTTTTGACGACCGTGGCAGTATAGTAGGTTCTAAAATCAGGTAACGTGAGGCTTCTCACTTTGTTCTTCTTCAGTAATGCTTTACTCATCCGGGGCCTCTTCCCTTTCCATATGAAGTTGGTGATTTGTTTCTCCATCTCATTAAAAAATGCCATTGGAATTTGTATCAGTATTGCATTGTATCGTAGATGGCTTTGGGTAGAATTTACATTTTCACAATGTTGAGTCTTCCTATCCATGAGCAAGGTATGTTTTTTTACTTACTTAGGTCTTTTTTGGTTTCTTGCAGTAGTGTCTTGTAGCTTTCTTTATATAGGTCTTTTTCTGGTTAGATTTATTCCTAAGTATTTTATCTTCTTGGGGGCAATTGTAAATGGTATTGATTTGGTGATTTCCTCTTCGAAGTTCTCTTTGTTGGTGTAGAGGAAGCCAACTGATTTTTGTATGTTGATCTTGTATCCTGATACTTTGCTGAAATCTTCTTAGTTCCAGTAGTTTTCTTGTGGATTCTTTGGGGTTTTCTGTGTATAAGATCATATCATCTGCAAATAGAGATAATTTTACTTCTTTCTTACCAATTTGGATGCCCTTTATTCATTTTTCTAGTCTAATTGCTCTGGCTAGGACCTCCAGCACAATGTTGAATAAGAGTAGTGATAAACGCCATCCTTGTCTGGTTCCCGTTCTAAAGGGGAATGCTTTAAGACTCCATTTAGGATGATGTTGGCTGTTGGCTTTGTATAAATGCCCTTAATTATGTTGAGGAATTTCCCTTCTATTCTTATTTTGCTGAGAGTTTTTATCATGAATGGGTGTTGGACTTTGTCAAATGCCTTTTCTGTATCAATTGATAAGATCATGTGGTTCTTGTCCTTTGTTTGATTTATGTGATGGATTACATTGATTATTTTTCTAATTCAACAATTTTTTTTTTAATGTAAGAAAATATCAGCTTCTTGTGTATAAAAACAGTAATGAGTCCTTTGAAAGAGAAAGAGTGCCAAGACCTGAAAAGAGTGAAGTTTCAGGTGGCTGGGGTTGGAAGAAACCAACTGGAATTCAGGTGGCTGAGGCTTCAAGCCAACTAAAAATGACCTTAGAATACCGTGTGTCTTAGTTTCCTAGTGCTGCTATAACACAAATACTACAAGTGCGTGGCTTTAAAGAACAGACATTTATTTTCTCACCGTTCTGGAGGCTAGGAGTCCAAACTCAGGATGTGGCTATAGTGGGAGGTCCTTCTCTATTGGTCTATTTCATTGCTTTTTTTGTTTTTGGTTTGTGACTTTGAAGACTCCATTTTTTACACGGTAGAACTGCACCATAGGGTTTACTTGGCTGTAATCTTTACAGAAGCAGATGGCTAGGCCTGTTTCTTCTATGGTTCTGCTGGGTGAGTTTGAATCACCAACCTTTTGGTTACAAGCTGAGTACAAACCATTTGCGCCACCCAGGAACCTTATTCTTTGTCTGTTTCAGCTTCTAGTAGCCAGCAGTCCTTGGAGTTCCTGGGCTTGTAGATTCATCTTCAGATAGCATCTATCTCCCCACTGTGTCTTCATGTCTTTGTGTTTGTGCTGCTCCTTATATAACTCAGAAGTGATTGGGTTTGGGATCCACCCTAACACTGACATGACCTCAGCTGATTGATTGATTACATTAGATTGCATTATGGAAGAGGATTATATTACATTAGATTAGATTACATCCACAGGCATAGGGGTTAGGATTCCAACACATGTATTTGGAGGATACATCAGTCCATGGCATTGTGGTTGGACAAAACCTTGTCCCTGTATTACCAATTTGTAAAGGAATGTATTTTTTTTTTTTTCTGTTTGTTTGTGATACGGTCATTTCCTGTTGTCTTGGGAGGCACCAATATAGTCTCAAATTGTTCTTGTGGAAAATATGCCAGTGGCACCAGAGGAAACACAGAGAAAGGTGGATTCGTCAAACACACTCTTCATTCTGGCTGAGGGAACCCAGGGGGTGTCACTTTCCTACCTACAGTCATTGGTCCTCACCCTTGACTGCATATTAGATTCCTCTGGAGAACTTTAAAATTCAAAAAAATAAACACCTCTAATTTCTAATGTTACTGGTCTTGTGTGAGTCCTGGACATCAGAATTTTTTTAAAAAGTTCTCAGGTGATTCTAATGTGCAGCAAAGGTTAAAAACTACCGTAATCATTTTGTCAAGAAATGTCAAAAAGGAATCTAATCTGAAAGAAGAGGTAGCCAAGAGAAAGAACTAGAAACTGCCTGCCCTTCTTTCATCAATATCTGGATCTTAATGACAAAATTTCATAGTGGACACAGAAAAGCAGTCTTTGGCCATTGCTGAGTTACTGTGCCTCACTTTTTCATACACTGTAAAACAGGGGATAATAATAATAGATACTCATGGGGTTTTTATGGCAATTAATTAGCGTTCTTGGCACATAATTAGATTTTCCTTAAAAACCTCTTATTGCTATTATTATCACCATCATTATTGTCCTTGAGTGAAAAGTGAAAACTATGAAGAAAAGTCTTTCCAATTAAGACCAAGTTGAGATCAAATTGGAGGAAGAAATCATGAACAACTCCTGGACGAGCGTCAGCTAACTTTGGGCATGGTGTTTACCGAGTAAAAGGGCTCTGTTGTGTGGGTGGTCAAACAAGCAAATCAGGCCAGCTTCCCTGGAGGTCATCTCTGAGTTAGAACTGTCAGAGAGTTCATTTGTGGCCAACTTCTCTGGAGAGAGTAGGGATAGGGACAGCCTGCACCCATCAGGCAATACATGTTGTAAACTCTTGCCCTTGCTCTCTCAAGGCTTGTTGTGCCACTATTAAACCCTGAACACATTTTGATTCTGAGTAATACAATGTAAAGGGCTTTGGAACCTCAGGCAACTGGATTTTAATAACACTCTGCAACTTACTAGCTCCACTTACCAGCTACATGGCTGATATAATGGTTGCTATTATTATCACTATCGTGAAGTGGTAGTTATGTCTCTCCACTTTACTAGGCTTGAGGGCAAGAAGCCTAGAGCAACCATGAAGAAGAGCCGTGAAGACCCATCTACATCATTCCATCATCTTTTCCCACCACCACCACCTCTACTTCCAGCACACAGTAAACTGAGTAAACACTCAGTAAATATAAGTTGAATTAAATGGGTCACCAACTGCATTCAAAATATGAATGTATCAGTGAATGGATCTCCAATAGCCTTCCAGGGTTTTGAACCCAACCAGGACAGCCCATGGCAAAGTGTCTCCCTTTTGTGACTTAGTAAATGAACACTGGGGAAAACAAAGCGGACACAAAGCACTATTAGTCCTTTACTGTATGTCAGCTTTCAAAGAGGTTTGGACCATATAAAAATGATATTTGGAGGCTACATAACTCATCTCTCATAAGTATGTTTTTATCCTTTTGTTGATTTTTTTTTATTATAAAGGTAATACGTGTTCATTGTAACAATGTTAGAAAATATAGCTAAGCAAAAAGAATAAAATCATTCTTAATCCCAGATAGATAAATAGATTTTTTTCTTTAACATATGTTGACATTTTCCCAGTCATTAGTCTTCAATATCATTTTTAACAGCTTCATAATACTATACTATATAGACCTACCAATATTTATTTAACTTATATCCTGTTGTTGTGTGTTGTTGAGTCATTTCCAACCCATAGCGACCTTATAGAACAAAGTAGAACTGCCCCCAAAGGGTTTCCTAGGCTGTAATCTTTACAGGAGCAGATTGCCAGCTCTTTTCCCTGGAAATGCCAATGACAAGTTCAAACCACTGACCTTTCAGTTAGCAGCCGAGCACTTAACCATTGTGCCGTCAGGGCTGCTTAATTCATATCCCGCTGCCGGAATTTCAACTGGTTTTCCATTTTTTTTTTTTGAAAACAGCTGCAATGATAGTTTATTCCTTAATGATTTTATAAACGCTTCCTAATTTGATAATTATTCTAACCCTGCCCCTTTTTCTAAACTTTGCAATGAACTTAAAAGTAAATTTGCTTAATTTGTGAGGAATTGATTTGCTTGCTCAGTCTGCAAACCTGCCTTCAGCTTTGGCTTTGCTATCTTAAGTAAGCTCTGTCCTGGGCTTCCATGTCTAGGAACTGATAAGTAGTCAGCCTTCTTGGGTCTGGCTGCTTGTTCAGGGCATGGAGCTAATGGGGACATGGTCGTGGGATTCAGTCTTCATATAGACAGGCCAGTTAGTTAAGTGTCCAAAGACACTTTCCCTAGCTCCAAACAGCTGTCATTTAAACACTAGCTGTTAGTTTCAAAAGAACCAGGGAAAAGATCTTGGGTGGATCAACATAAATCCATCACCACTACTGGAAAGACAGTGTGTCAACAGTTTCATCTTCCCCTGGAAAACATTTTAAGACAAGGATTCATGTCAAATCACATAAAATTGGTGAGATTGTAGAAAAGGAAGAAAGAATAATATTGGGAAAAACAATTGGCTGGACTCAGACCTTATATATATCTTGGTTTACAAGCTTAGTCTGGGAGATCCCCAGCATTCCTATGTGAGACAAATTCAGCAACGTGTTTTAAATTGCTGGCTTGTTGTTACTTAACTGGCACTTTTCTTTTGCAGCTGACACAGCTCTTGGCACTGATGATGTATATGATGAGAAAGGATGCCAGTGTGATGTATCAGTAGAAGACCTCACTCCACCACTTAAAACTGTTATTCGAGCCATCAGGTTGGTAAAAACCTTTGATAAAAATGATTCCACGACCTAAAAAAATAACCAAACCTACTGCTGTCGAGCCAATTCCAACTCACTGAGATCCTAAAGAACAGAGTAGAACTGCCCCATAGGTTTCCAAGGCTGTAATCTTTAAGTAAGCAGACTGCCACATCTTTCTCCCGTGGAGCGGCTGGTGGGTTCGAACTGCCAACATTTTGGTTGTCTGCTGAGCGCTTTAACCACTGTGCCACCCAAGGTCCTTCATTCAGAGAACTACTACTGGTTATTTGAATTACTGTGTTGACAAGTTTTTTTCCTTCAGGTCAGTCTCCTGGAATAACTACTTTCCCTTTTCCTGTTCATCCACATACCTATTAAATTTTGAAATATTTTTCCTTAATACAAAACCCTGCTGTGTTCAACACAAAGTATGTTACAAATGCTGGGTGAAATTAGAAAAGCCAAGCCATGCCAGAGAGATTATGTGAGAATTGGCTTATCATGTGAATTTGTTATTTTAAGGACATTTGGTTTATAAATGCAATTGGATTTTTTAAATTATTTTCGTGACTTGATGCTCCAATCCATGTTCTGTATTTTGAGTAATTAAAAAAAAAGAAAAACCTCTAGGTTATTTTAAAACAGGTTGAGTTCTGAAAATAGGAAACAAACTACTTTGCAGTGACTTGCTCCTATTTTGCTGAAATATAACTTTTTAAAGCCGATCTTAATATGCGTCCTCTACTGATGGCCAAGAGCTAACTAAGAAAGACACTCAAAGCAGCTTACATGTTGGACCACTCTCCCCCAACCCCATCCCCCCCAAAAAAAATCCAGATTCTGAACTAAACTGCTTCACATTCAGCCTGCCCAATTTAATCCCTTTGAGAGAATTTGTACCTGTCAGGGAATATTGAATATATTACAATGAAATATCTCTGCTCTTTTGGGCTCTTTCTGCCTCTTACCAAAAAAACCAGAGGAAAAGTTTAAAATATCTGAACCAATTAGCTATTCAGATACTTTTTCTAATCCCAAATATCAGTATGATTGTTTTCATTTTTAATTGGTCGTTTAGCATCAAGTTAGACATTGCCTTTCTCTGCGATTGGAGTCACAGGGAAGCAGAAATGGGTTACAAAGATTTCGGTAAATGTTTGGGGGAGCAAAGAAGATCATAGTATGATGAATATATGTGTACTCCAGAAGTTGTTTTAAAAATCATCTGTAACAGCAGCCTAAAAATAAGTGAAGAAAAGCCCAGTTACTTCCCACTGGAACCCTCAAGAAACCAACCTGATGTGTGAGGAGACCATACTTTCCTGTTTGCCCTGAAGAGTGCCAGATTATTCCTCTTGTCTCGTCATAATTATTAATAACATTCCCTGTCTTTCTCAAAGTGCCATGACTTGGACAACAAATTATATGGTCACTCTGGCCCTGGGGAACCTAGATGCCTCAGGTAATTTAAGCTGAGAAAAGCCAAGGATATGTACTAAGATGATGCCTGAAGCCTTCAGTTAAAGAGAGAGAAAGCATTCAGAACTGCACTGTGCAATACAGTAGCCACTGGCCACACGTGGCTATTTAAATTTGAATTAATTAAAATTAAACAAAATTTTAAATTCAGTTCATCCATTGCAGTATCCACATTTCAAGTGCTCAATAGCCACAGATGTTTAGTGGCTACTATATTGGATTGAGAAGATATAGAACATTTCCATCATTGGCAGAAAGTTCTACTGGACATGGCTGGTCTAGATGTCACCTTGAAATTCTTTACATGCATTAATCATATCCATCAAAGACCCCAAAGTAAAGATGGGGCAATTCAGTCCACAGATTAGTTTGACTTGCAACAAGTACCATAAAATCTTATCTAGTGGGAGCAGATTAGGTTTCCTAAAAGTCACATTTAACCCAGTTGTGTGTCATTTCCCAAGACCTTCCAAAGCTTTCTGCTTTTGCCTCATAACCTGTAAAAAGAATTTTGATCTGCAAGAAAGAAAATGAAGTAGATCTATTCTGCTAGCTAATCGCTTTAGCAGCCACTTAAGATACACTTTATCATACCTTCTTCTTGAAACTTGACAGATTTTTGTAAAGTCCTTTGCAGAATTTCCTTGCTTTTCAGAAGTCTTTCCTGGTTCTTACTTTTGTAACAAAATTTTATTATTCACATGTCTATCCTTTTTGTGGAGGGCTTTGTGCTTACTACTTTGTGACACTTGAGGGAAGGGATGTTTTTCTCCCCCATATCCTGATTCTGCTTACTGGGTTTTTTGTTTGCTTGTTTGTTTTGATCATTTTAAGTTCCATTTGAAAGTATAGGATTCTATAAAAACAAAATAGATACATTCAATAGTTTAATAACTTAATTGGAAATCTTTGACACAATATAGTACTTAATTTCTAAAGCTATTTGATTAAAAGACCAACAAATACAATTAGCACATCTGAAAATGAGTTTGCAGGTTTAAGTCCCTGAGTCTTATGCAAAAGGGACTTTTCCTGAGGAGTTCAATTACATAAATAAGTTCAACATCAGTTGGTGGGATTTTTTTGCCGAAAAGATGCCCATCTTTTGCAGCTCACCTGAAATAGTATTTTATATGTATATTACACATTGCAGGTATGAACCAGCTATTATTCTTCTCTAAAATTGCAGCTTTGTTTTGGCATTTCCCTTGTTATGTTTTGGTTGTTTGATTGTTCAGTATGAATACTTGAATATGCCTTTTGTATTTCAGTAATTCTTACAAAAATAGTTTCTCATAAAAGCTAAATTAAAATTAAAATATGTAACAGAAAATATGTATTTCACTGCAAGGATGAGAGTATGGAAAATAATATATTACATTCATAAAGAGCAAAGTAGAAATTCTTATTTTTGTTTATTAATATTTATTAAGCATTGCCTTTTTCTGGTTAGTTTTGAGAATAAAGATTTCTCAGGCAAGGAGATAATTTAGGGCATGCTCCAAACTTGTCTGGACTGTATTACTCAAATGAACTTGGAGACTTTTTTTAAATGAATAATGTCACTTATTATAGTATGTAGTGAAAAATGACTGTTCTTAGACTATTTCCAAAACATGTTTTTTACTCCCAAGAAAACTTAGCTTTGTGTATTTCTTCCAGGATTACCACAGATTTTTCTCAAAATGTTATTTTGTGGAACTGTAGAAAGTAGCTGGAAATTTGTTTTCAATATTCATCTGTGGGAGTAGAGACTGTACTTATTTTTAACAAAATTTCTATATCTTATATCTTAGTTATCTAGTGCTGCTGTAACAGAAATACCACAAGTGGATGGCTTTAACAAACAGAAATTTATTTTCTCACAGTTTAGGAGGCTAGAAGTCCAAATTCAGAGTGGTGGCTGTAAGGGAAGTCTTTCTTCTCTGTCAGCTCTGGAGAAAGGTCCTTGTCTCTTCAGCTTCTGCTTCCTGGTTCCTTGGACATCTCCATGTGTCTTGGCATCTATCTTACCCATCTCTCTTCTGCTCACTTTTTTACTCTCTTTAATATCTCGAAAGAGATTGACTCAAAATACACCCTACGCTAATCTTACCTCATTAACATAACAAAGACAACGTGTTCCCAGGTGGGATTATAACCACAGGCATAGAGGTTAGGATTTACAACACATGTTTTGGGGGGACACAATTCAGTCCATAACATCTTGTTAATGAGTCAGCTCAAACAATGTTAGGTTTCCTTTCAGCCACTCACAGAAATTAGTTTCTAAATGGAAAGATGAAATTATTAGGGAAGTAAACTGATAAACAAATTGATAAACTCTAGAACATTCTACTAATTTACTTTTAACTATATCATGGTAAGACAGTACTTTTCCTATCACTGTTTGAAAAATATTTTCTCAGGCACGACATCAAAATTTTCAGATGAAAAATTGAAAAACTCATCAATTACCTGGATATGTTCCTTCAAAATGTCAAGCATCTGGATATTTGGGGATATCTGAAGGGGTTGACTGACTGTTACCCTTCATCCTACTACTTGGCATCATGCAGACACTACATAAGTATGACTTTGAGCAAAACTTCATACAAAAATTAATATGTTTTATTTGAAATAATAAATAAAATTTTGGAAGTCATATCCAAAATAACCATAAAAAGATCTCAGAATAATATTTTGTAATACAAAAGAAATTGTGCTGTAACTTGTTTTCTTGTACTGAATTGGCTAGATAATTTATGAGATATGCACACCAAAATAACATATAAGTGCTGTGTAAAGGTCGGGCATTTGGGGAAAAAGCTTTGTCTGTTTAGACAACACAATTCAAAGCTTACATGCTTCTTACAAGTATATTTTTGGTGGAATTACTACATCTAGGATGGAGGCCACTCTTAATGAGATCCTCAACAACAGTTTTTCTCTCATCAGTGTGTTTTGTACAATCATGCTTTATGTCAGTCATCAAGAAATCAAATTTATCATACAACCTGTTCTTCTTATGAAGATAATCAAAATAACCCAATGGAGATTATTCATTATTTTGAAAAGAAATGACTGAGAAACTGTTGACTATATCATGTTCTTAACTTCTCTTAATATCTTAATATCTCCATAGATAAGGCAAAAATCGTCATGCCTGTTATGTTTCACTCTATGCAACCTTTTCCTATCCATGCCAAACTAACCTTCTAGAGAAGCAAACAAATAAAACTTGAAGTTTTGTTAAAACTCAAGGAATTATTTAATTGAAGCTGCAGCCTGACTTTTCAGTTCTACCCCCACTTTACACCCTCCCCAGAGTAGCTCAGAAAAGGTGGTCTAAGAAACATGGCAGCCTATATGCTGCCCTGTGCTTCCATTTCCTCAATGGTGAAGTGAGGATTGTAATGGTATTTACCTCATAGGGTTGTGGCGAGGAATTAATTAAAATTTTCAAAGCACTTAGAACGGTATCTGGCACACGGTAAGCACTGTATAAATGCACTGTAATTATCCTTACGTTGTCTGGCCTCTTTAGTGCCTTC